TGTATGGAAATGTTTTTATGTATGGAAATGTTTTTATGTATGGAAATGTTTCTGTAGTCTTCTAGTACCGACAGAGTTTTGAGGAGTTGGATGTTTAAATGGTCTCATCTGCAGATTATCTTGTAGTTAAACGGACTAATTCGGTACAAATCATCAGAATACTATTTAACTATTTCCCTGCCTTTCATCTGTATAGGTTTTTAAGTTAAAGTATCCTTGATAATTTATTGTTTTAGCTTTTTATTTTTGCCTTAGAAACTCAAATTGATTAAAGATGTTAGTTTCCAACAGAATAGATCCACACCAGGTAAATAATGATGCTGATGTGGCACTTGGTGCTTACAATGCAATTTAGGTACAATCTCATTTGTTTCTCTAGTAGCAATCAGAACTAGTTAGAAAAAGGTGTCAACTCCATCTGAGAGGTGAAGAAAGTAAAGCTAAGACATTAAATGACTTTTCCAATGTCGCATATAAGTAGAACCTGTGGCTAGGCCTCAAGACTGGGTGATATTTTGGGTTTGGTTGGGGTTAGATGGGGTTGAGCTTTTTCCATATTCCCTTTGGACAGCTAAGTCAAAAGAGACATGAAAATTCCAGTTGACCTGCTTTCATCCTTTTTATTTTTTTTCCCCTCCATCTTTATACATCGTGTAGATTAGTGTGGGAAAGCATCAAATATCAAAGGGAAAATCAGCCAACCTAATGTTTCTTTTGAGACCTGAAAAATAACCTTTTTTTTTTTGTACAATTACATTGTAAACTCCTTGAAAGCTGTTTTCCTGTTTCTTTGTATCCCCAGCATTTAGCACAATGCTTGGCATATAGTCAGCACTTAATAATGCTGGTTTTGATACAAGTTATTCTCGATACTTTTTAAAGTTGGCAAAATGACAGCTTTCCATTTGGATTTCTCAGTCTGTTGTTTTTGTTGCTTAAGTGATGATTTTCTCCAACCCATCCCAATAAAATATCACTATTTTAGAAAAGGAAATAGAAGTAGCTCTGGTTAGATTTAATATCTTGGCCACCTTGCCAAGTCCTTTGACTTGAATGATCTCTTCTTTGGTTTTTAAGAAGAATCCTCACTAGCTGTATGACCCTGGGCAAGTCACTTAACCCCAATTGCCTTTAAAAAAAAAAAGGAAGAATCCTCTAAACTCCAAGGTAGCTATTTAGTTACTACTTTATTTCATTCTAGACCTGTAAGAAGGCCTAAGCAGAAAGAGAATCTTTAAGACAAAGGAAAACAACCAAAGGGAAAGGTATATGCATTTATATAGTACCTATTATGTACTGGGCACTGTGCTAAGTGCTTTTACAAATATTACAACAAGCCTAAGAGGTAGGTGCTTATTATCCCCATTTTTAAAATTGAGGCAACTGAGGCAAACCGAAGTTAAGTGGTTTGTCCAACATCACAGTCTTTAAGTATCTTAGGCCAGATATGAACTTAGGTTTTCCTAACTTCAGGCCCAGTGCACTATCCACTGATAAAGCCCAGCTGCCTAATAGCCTAGACATGTGTTAATGTTCTATCTTCATATCTAACCATGTTAGGGGCAGCTAGGTGGCACATTGGATAGAGTGCTAACCCTGGAGTCAGAAAGACCTGAGTTCAAATTCAGCCTCAAACACTTACTGGCTGTATGACCCTAAGCAAGTCGCTTAACCTTGATTGCCTCAAAAAAAAATTCTGTTACATATCTATGTGACAACAGAGGTTTAATGCATGACTCCTCCCTTTAGTTAAATTGGACAGGTCAAAGAGGAAGATGCTTCGTAAACACAAGGATGTGAAACCTGAAGCAGAGACTGTAGAAGTATGGACAATACCAAAACGCAGCTTACCCAGAGGTAGGGGGAACTAGGTAGCTTGCGTAGACAGCAAATCTGGGTTACAACAGTTTAGTCTTAGGATTCCTCTAGCTTTGAGCTCCCAGCTAAGATAGGATCTCTATAAAAAGCTGGGAATTGAAGTTTTGTGAGGAATTCTGTCAATGGGAAGACTCTTAAGTGGAATAAACAAGAACATAGATAGAACCCAGCTTATGTTCCTGAAGATAAAGTTGGCACTTGCATGTGTTTTCTCTTCTCTAGGATCCATAAAGTTGTAGGCTGTGTGTGTTGTGGGGTAAACCAACTTTTTATAGGCAGGCCTAGGAACCTGATGCATCATTTCCCCCCTGTGGAAGATATGTTCAAAAGCCCAACTTAGAAGTTGGGCTGTTGGGAGTATTTTATTTTCTGCCATGACCCCAACTACATGAGGAGGCTCCCTGTTGACAAATGTTTATATTAAAATAGGGGAGAAAATCCCTGAGTTGGGGGTGGGAGAGGGAGAAAGGAAAATGAGTACATAAGAAACTAAAATCTCAGCTTATGGAACTATAAAACCATTTTTAAAAGTTTTAAAATTATACAATTGGTGGGAGCTAAGCATGATTTTAACATTGATCTTTGACCATTGATATAGTGTAAAAGTAGCAATTTTTAAACTTTTTTGTTCAATTCTTTATAGGGTACGGATTGAGGAAATCCAGCTACAGAAAATAATATATTCCTGCTAGGGACAACTGATGACAAGTACATGGAACCTGACTATTTTTACTTTGACTTGGGTTAGAGCTGTACATTCATAACAGGGGAAAACAGTCTTATATAATGCTGCATAATCTACCGAACAAAATCTGGCCCTTGAGATACCCTCAGAATGTGAATGGTACAATAGCAAATAAACAAAATTGCATAAATGTATGGCTTTCACTTTTTCTTTGAGTGTGTGTGTGGGGGGGTGATGCTTTGGAATAAATTTCTGAAAATTATAAAGAGTTGATCACTTATCAACTCATGGCTTTCTCTTTTAATCTCTTATGTCTTCCATCTGAGTACCTTATTCTTCCCTTTTTTGTATGGAAGAGGAAGAATAGATGCATTTTTTTTTTCAGTAAATGCCTGAGAAATGGAGGTATCCTGATAAGTTGTTTAAATGTTTTCTTCTCAACATTTTTTTGTGGTCTTTGTCCTTTGTTCCTATCATATGACTTTAATAATGGCCACCTTAACCATACCCTACTTGCATATTATATAAGAATTCTGCATTATCAAGCTGTTCCTCTTCCTCTTCTTTCCTTCCAGAGCCATCTGATTCCTGGGTTGGGATGCTCTGGCATTATTGGTCAAACAGTTTGTGTTTGGAATAATCTATAATAGAAAGTCACAGTAATAGTATTGAAGTCCTGGGAGAGGAGAGGTATACCATTCTTTAAGCATCTAGGCAGGCATAGAAAAGATACCCTTAGGTAGAGATCAGAGGAACTCATATATAAAATATAACAACGACCTTATGATGAGGCTTGCTCATTTCAGTTGGGCTGTCTTGGTCTTAATGCATGTCAGTATTGTCCTAGGTTTCTAGGTGCTAGTGATAAAAGGAACTTGGTATCTAGCCCAACCTCCTAATTTTACAAATGAGGGAATAAGTCCCAGAAAAGTAAAGTGACTTGCCTAAGATCATTGGTAGTAGGAATGTAAACTTGTGTTCTGACTCCAAATTCAATGTTTATTCTGCTATACCACACTCATGGTTATGATGTAGGTCAATCACGGACCAACTGCTGTTGTGGTTTGAAGGCAGATAGAAAACTGAAACCTCCTGTATAATTTTGAATGAGTTATGGAATATAGCCATCTAGATCTAGGATTTGGCTTTATAGATGTCTAAACTGGTTGGGAATGTTGGTGCAGGCCTATAATCTTTGCTACTAGAGAATGAGGCTGGTGGATTTCATGAGTTTAGGAGTTCTGAGCTGCAGAGGACCAAGCCAATCAGATTTCAGCACTATGTTTGGCGTTAAAGTGGTGAGCCCCAGGAATAGGGCGGCTATCAGGTGGCCTAAGGAAGAATGAACTTTCCTGGGTTGGGAAATAAAGCAGGTCAAAACATCCATGCTGAGTTATTCTAATTCATTTGTCTCTCAAAAGTATAATATTTTAACCCAGAGACTATAGGTTGAGTTATCATTCAAGGATAGGTATGCTATGATCATGTTATATGAGTTCAGCTACTTTAATGTAGATGACGTTCATCTTTGTGATGGAGAATCATCTCACAAAACCAGCACTACTACCCGGTCTTCTCCTATGCAGGGAGAAGGAATACTTTATTAATAAACAACTCATATTTTACATAGCACTTTAAGATCTGCAAAATGCTGTCTTGATCCTGTGAAATAATCAACATCTCCACTGGGGACACTGGGAGGTTGATTTGTTCTGTATGCTGAGCCCAATGCAGGCCAGTCCTCTGGTGTTTATGTTCAGTATTGGAGGGGAAAAAATGAGAAACTCATAGGTCATTTGCCAGTTAAAGTGGGATACTCATAGGCCATCCCCTAGTTTGCTATAGAAAGGGAAGGATATACATGTGCATTGAGGACTCAGTCTAGAGCTGATTAAGTTGAGTGAAACTCCCATTTCCAAGTTCCCCATCCCAGTCCAACAGCCAAGCATCAGAGAGCACTTGGAGCTCTTCATGACTATTTTATACATGAGTAACCAGAAAGTGATGTCAGTAGCTTAAGTCATCGGTCCTCTGAGGCAGTCAAGTCTTGAGGATCCTTTCAATACCTTTTAAGGAAAAACTAGTTTAACTTGCATAGGGGGGAGGGGAGACCAGTAGGGTTGTGTTAGCACTGCTCCCAGCACAACTTGATTTAAGTCACACATATACTGTCAGAGCTGTGACTCTTTGCCAAGACCTGTGCTCTTTGCACAAAGTTGTGTCTTTCATGTTCTCTCAATGTTATCAACTCTTTGGTACTATGGCTACAAACAGCATTTCTTGCCTTTATTTCCAATTCCTTCAAGAATTTTTGTTTGTTTGTCCTTGCATATTGGTGTTCTTCCTACACCTGGATTCTAATTTATCAGATTTAGAATAAAAATAGTGTTGGATTTTTTAAATCAGTAAACCTAACAGCTGAAATATCTTGGGGACTGCATATTCTTGAGAATACATGACGGTGACAAAACTGATAACATTTTTATCCTTTCACTGTAGATGGCAGAATAAGGTGTGGGTTGACATAAGGGAAGAAACCAGAGCTATTCCTACAAAAGTATAGTTTCCTAATTTCTCTTCTTCCCTCATGATTTTTTTTGTTCAGATATTTCTACATCTTTCTCCCAGAACAGAAGCAATTAATTAAAAACCTCTTATGAAAAACTTCAAGAAAAAAGATTTCTATGTGTGCATTTATAACACCAAGTCTAATTTTTTGACAGGGCCCCAAAGATCCACTGCCTTAATGTAAAACAAAGATGCTTAACAATTTATAATTTTGGAGTAAAGTGACTAAAATGTCTATACCCTTTGATTTAGGAATTTTACTTTGGGGCATATGCCCCCAAAGAGTTCATTGAGGAAAAGAAAGGTTCCAAATACACTAACACATTTATAATATTTTTTGTCTTATCAAAGAATGGGAACAAACAGATATCTGTCAATTGGGGAATGACTAAACAAATTGTAGTAAATGAATGTAATGGAATATTATTGTGCTGTAGGATATCAAAAACATGATGAATATAGAGAAGCAAGGAAAGATTTATATGAACTGATGCAATGTGAATTAAACAGAGCCAGGAAAATAATATACATAGTGACTAAATGTAAAGGGTAAGAACTACCACAAAACAGTCAAAGCTGAATATTGCAAAATGTTAAGAATCAGACTGGCTTCAAAAAAATAGCTATGAGAAGACACCTCCCCCTACTTCTTTAAAGAAGTATGAGCACAGGGGAGGGGTGTCCAAGGGCCCAAAACATCGCATAAAACAGGGAAGTTTTTTTTTTCTCTGCAGCAATTTTTCAGATTTTTTTTTTCTCACCTTTTTTTCTTTTCTTTTGGAAAATTCTTTGTTACAAAAGAGATCTCTGGGAAGACAACTGGAGTAGGATACAGGAGGAATCTAAGCAATGTCAAAAGAAAAGATATCAATAGAAATCTAGTTTTAAAAGGTGTACTTAAAAGCCTGGACCAGTTCAATTCCTTTTTCCTAAAAGGAAAAAAAATCTCTTGGATGAAAGAAACAACCTCACAAAAGATGAGAAACTCTGAACCAGAATTCAGTTCAAAGGCCCTTTGAGTAGAAACATTCACCATTTAAGAGATAAACAAAGGAGGGAATTAAACCAACAAATTGCCTCAAGGAAATATTAAAACAAATGGAGCCATGAGTGGTGATTGGGTTGTTAACAGTTATGGAACTAGGCTTGACATTTCAATTTATGGTAATCTAATGCTCTCCTAGCTTTGAGGTTACAGACCTCTTGGACACTCTACAGGTTCAAAAAGGAAATGGCATACAATGCAAATGATTATCTAGACTGTCTGAAAAAGCACAATCTGGGGGGAGGAGTCACTGCATCCTGAGGCAGCCCATTCCTCTCATGGGTAGCTCTAATTGTTGGGAAGTTTTTTTTTATGTCAAGCCTACATGTGTTCTTTGTGACTTCCATCCACTGTTCATAGCTCTGCTTTCTAGTACTTAACACAAGTCTAAGACTTTCCAGTACCTTCTTTTATGGACTTGGGCATGGATACCCAAAGTTTTATGTTATAAATAGTACCCAAAAATTTGCATATACATTTACATACCACAAATAGGCAAGATAGAATGTGAATTTAATTTCTAAATATATTTTATTCACTCCCAGTTAAACCAATGCATTTCATATCCCATGTCAATGAGAATACATGACAGTAACAAAGAATTAATAAAATTTTTATACTGTCACTAAAGATGGCAGAGTTTGGTGGATATGTCCCTTCCCAGTTTTCTACCCCACACAAAGGAAACTACTAGTGCCCTTAAAGTCAGTAAGTTGGTATTTAAATCTATTCACCTAACAATTGTTCTTTTTGTCCTTAAACATTCACCTAATAAAAGGTCTTTTTGTCTTCAACCTATTACCCACCTTTCAGAGGAACTTTTCCAAGAATTTGGAAAGGGCTTTAGAGAAAATTATTCTTCCTTAATTTTTCTTCTTGTCAGTCATTTCAGTTGGCATGTTCAACTCTTCATGACCCTGTCTGGGGTTTTCTTGGCAAAGATATTGGAGTGATTTGCCATTTCCTTCTCCAGCTCATTTTGTAGATGAGGAACTGAGGCAAACAGGGTTAAGTGACTTTCCCAGGGTTACACAGCTAGTAAGTGTCTGAGGTGAGATTTGAACTCAGAAGATGAGTCTTCCTGACTCCAGGCCCGGCACTCTGTCCACTACACATTGTTCACATTAGTGGTCCCCTAAGTGGTTGTGTACTAGTAAATCTAGAACCTTGTGATGGATGTGATCCCTAAAGTGTTTTGATTTTTGTTGAGTTTAGTTGAAGTGAAATTATTAAAATTAATTTGAATATTCACCACCACTACTCCTTTCACTAAGAACATTCTTTGATGGAAGTGATCCTGTCTTTTTAAATGCCACACCAGGGATGTACAAATTTTGGCAGGACCTACCAAGACAGAAATGCTTCCAGTATGACCTGGTGGAAAAGCTCTTTCTATTGCCCTCAGGCTCCACTTATCTCTGTCTGGGGATCTCTGTTTTCACCCCTGCGATTGGAGGGTGATGAATTTCTCCTTGGCCACAGTTGAAAGCTGTACCAACAAGTGCCAGAGCAC